CCAACTGTTATTCTATCACGAGTTTTATTATTTCTTTCTAAAATTCAGTTACAATCTGACTGAATCCTGTCATCTAAAGGATAAATTTTAAATGTAACCTGAAATAACTTATATATAAAATTGTAATGGGAAAAAGGAAACTAACTGGCATATGCAGATAAAAACCTACATATAATAAATAAAGAAACAATACACAAAGCTACTACAGCCCTCATTTCTATAACTGGTCAAAAGGCCTTAGTGGCTATCTATGATTTCCTTTTTCCACTGCCTATTCTATATTACCTGTGCCCTCAGACAACACCAGCTGGTCAGGATTCTTTATGGGGATGAAACCAAAATCTTTATCACTGAAGTGTCTGAGTTCACAGTCATGTATTATTTGGTTGCTGTAGTTCTCCATTGACTTTTTCTATTAAGAAAACAAGTATTAAAAGACCCCCAGAGAATCCTCTGGATTCCAAACATAGTTCTCCTTGGCCCCCATTGTATAGCATCACCATGATTTCTCCTTAGTAATTGGGATTAATCACACCAGCTAGTAGTGGCAGATTCCTAAACTTTCACAGGGTTCGTCTCCCACCCTCTGGCATGCAGAGGTGTTATTAAGGCACAAAGGATGCTTGCTACTTCAGGCTTGCCAGGTCCAATTTGGAAATATCAACCATGTAATGGAGAAGCATGATATTCTGTGGGATATCAAGATAGTCAAGACCCTGCTGCATTATGAGGGAGACTAGAAATGTTGACAGAGACTTGAGGTAAGACAGTGAAGACTTACTGCTGTCCCTGACTCATTAAGACTAAATACATATTATATATTTTCCTAGTGGGAGTTGAAAACATTGAATAGGTCAATAGGTATATGCAAAGAGGTGGAGATACACGGACTTTCTCCAAAAAGACAAGACATCTGTAACCACAGCTACAATTGCTATCATCCTCTGATTAACTTTATGATAATCCACAGCAGCTTTACAACTTGAATAAAATTTGCACCAGCCTAAAGGGTAATTAAATGGAAACATGGTAAGAATCATTATCTTTCCAGTATTTGATGACATCAGTTCTCTTATGGATACAGTATTGTTGTTATTCTTTCTGGGGAAGGAAAGGATTGGAGTACAGTTTCAGGGGCTTTCATTCGACTTTTCCTACTATAATAATCCTCACTGCATAGATCAGAAAACCTATGTAGGAATACTGCCAGTTACTAAGTATATAGATATCCCTCTTTATATACTGGGATTGGACAAATGAACATAATGAGTCTATTGCAATGCACTCATTACTGGATAAATTTAGGTCAGGAATCAAATACCTAGTCATCAAAGACTCCCACTTTGATCAGTGGGCTCCAGTGATGTTTTGAATCTCTGGACCTGAGTCATTAGAGAGTCAGTATCTAAGAACCCTTGGAAGGTCTGGGTGTTTGCTTCTCCCCAGGTTACTGTCCCCTGATAAATGGCCCAGGTCCCACTATAGATGGCTTAGAGAAATATTCATGGTAACCATTTGTAAGCGTGTAGAGGGAGGTCATTCCTTAAAGGCAGCCAGCCGCTTCTTCCATCAAGAGGCTCTAGGTCTGTGAAATGGCTCAAGTCTGAGAACTCTATAAAACACACACACACACACACACACACACACACACACACACACACTCTATAAAATATTCCCCATTACAGCACCTTGAGTAAAATTTTTTCTGTCCTCCAGAGTTGAAATTTCTCTGCTCACATACGTCACACAGAACCATAGTAGGCTGCTGTAGTAGGTTGAATGGTGGCCTCTTTTTAGATACGTCCATGTCCCAATACCTGGCACCTGTGAATGTAACCTTACTTTGGACAAAGGGTATTTGCAGTTATAAAGAAATTGAGGGTCTTAAATCATCCTGTATTATTAGCCAGTGGCCCTAAGTCCAATGCCAAGTGTTCTTATGAGAGACAGAAGACACAGACACATGACAAGAAGGCAATGTGACCACAGAAGCAGATATTAGAGTGATATGGTCAAGGAAGCCAATAAATGCTGGAAGCCACCAGAAGCTGAAAGAGACAAAGAAGTATTTTCCCATAAAGATTCCAGAGAAAGTGCAGCTCTGCTGACACCTTGATTTCAGACTTCTTGCCTCCAATACTGTAAGACAATACATTTCTGGGATTTTTTTGTTTGTTTGTTTGTTTTGAGACAGTCTTGCTCTTTCACTCAGGCTAGAGTGCAGTGGTGCCATCTCAGTCTCCAACCTCTGCATCTCACTGCAGCCTCTGCCTCCCGAGTTCAAGCAATTCTCATGCCTCAGTCTCCCAAGTAGCTGGGGTGACAGGCACCTGCCACCACGCCTGGCCAATTTTTGTATTTTTAGTAGAGATGGGTTTTCACCATGTTGGCCAGGCTGGTCTCGAACTCCTGAGCTCAAGTGGCACACCTGCCTCGGGCTCCCAGAGTGCTGGGATTACAGGCATAAGCCACTGTGCCTGGCCACATTTCTGTTGTTTTAAGACACCCAGTTCGTGGCAATTTTATGACGGTCCTACTAAGCTACTACAACTGCCCATTTCATTCCTGTGGATATGATGATCAATTAATAGCTGCTACAAATCCCTGCAGGGTCAAACCACTCTATCCATAGTGACTTGTTTCTTTTAAAATATTATTGTGGTAAGAGCATTTAGCTTGAGATCTACGCTTTTAACATATTTTTAAGTGTAAAATACAACATTGTTATCTATAAGCACAATATTGCACAGTAGAGCTCTAGAATGTATTCATCATGCATAACTGAAATATTACATCCATTGATAACAGCAACTCCTATTTCGCCCTACCCTGCTCCCAGCCCTGGACAATCACAATTTCATTCTTTGCTTCCATGAGTTTAACTATTTTAGATACTTTATATGAACGGAATCACACAGTGTTTGTTCTTTCTGACAGGCTGCTATCACTTAGTATAACATCTTTCAGGTTCATGTATACTGTCAAATATTACAGGATTTCCTTTTTGCTTAAGGCTGAATAATATTCCACTGCAAGTACTCCATTGCATGTATATTGCATATATCATTTGTTTTATCCATCCACTGGTGAACATTCAGGTTTTCCCCCCACAATTTGGCAATTGTGAATAGTGCTGCAATAAGCATGGCAGTGCTGGTACCTCTTTGTGATCTTTATTTCAATTCTTTTGGATAAATACCCAGAAACAGAATTGCTGGATCATATGGTAATTCTACCTTGTAATTTTTGAGGAACCTCCATACAATTTTTTTTTCTTTTTTTTTTGAGATGGAGTCTCGCTCTGTCACCAGGCTGGAGTGCAGTGGTGCGATCTCGGCTCACTGCAACCTCCACCTCCCAGAGTCAAGCGATCCTCCTGCCTCAGCCTCCCGAGTTGCTGGGACTACAGGTGTGTGCCAGCACACCCAGGATTTTTTTTTCTTTTTTTTAGTAGAGACGGGGTTTCATCATGTTGGCCAGGATGGTCTCGATCTCTTGACCTCGTGATCCGCCCGCCTTGGCCTCCCAAAGTTCTGGGATCACAGGCATGAGCCACCACACCCGGCCATACAACTGTTTTCTACAGTAGCTGCACCATTTTGCATTTTCACCAACAGTGTTCAAGTGTTCCAATTTCTCCACAATCCCACCATCGTTTGTTGTGATTTGTTATTTTGTCCCTAGGGCTTCTAGGGATTTTTCTCTCCTATGGGGAGTAGGTATTTGTAGGAGGTGTCTGAGAAGGTGGCATATAATAAGTAGATCTATTCCAACAACCCATCACCCTGAGTAATGTTTTCCAGGGAAGTGCTGGCATTTCAAACTGATTGGTATTGGCCACTTTTGAGTCCAGGCATCAGTTAACACATCTAGCAATTCTCAACACTTTAAAGCAACACATTAAATCCTGAATTTTAGGCAGAAACACAAATTTGCGTTGATATAATCTTTATCCTTTTAAATCACCTAATACCCTTACACTATGCTCTTACGCATGCTCCCCTGGCTCTTTATAAAATAATGCAAGATCCTGCAGGTCTTCCAGTGTTCAAGCTAACTCATACCAGAACACACTTTTTTCTTCCTCACTAGTATCCTTAACTTAGCAAAAGATCTAATAAGAGTTGACATTTAATTGACAGTACAGCTCTACAAAGTTTAATTAGGCTCCAGACTTAATCCTCACTCACATGTGCCCTTTAAACATATTTTTAAGTATAAAATACAGCATTGTTAACTATAGGCACAATATTGTACAGTATATACAGGAGATAAGTAATTTTGTCACAAAGACTTTCTGAATATCTATCTGGGCCTTGAGTTGGACATTCGAGACTTTCAATTTATCCCTTTCTCTATGGACCCTCTCTAGTGTAAAATACAACTATCTTATCCCACAATTTTTGTCATCAAAGGGATAAATTGCCTCAGCCACTGGATCTCCATATGCTTTACCCCCCATCTGCACCCCATTCTATTCTATGCCACCATTGGTGATAATGTGAGTAATCATGATGCTACCACTTGCTGCAGATTGCCATTATTCCATTCACCTGGCAAGGTTATCCATATGCTGTTCAAATGTGGGAGTAACCCAACCCTAGAATTCCTTTTTTTTTTTTTCTCTTTAGACGGAGTCTCGCTCTGTCGCCCAGGCTGGAGAGCAGTGGCGCGATCTCGGCTCACTGCAAGCTCCGCCTCACGGTTCACGCCATTCTCCTGCCTCAGCCTCCCGAGTAGCTGGGACTGCAGGCGCCCGCCACCAAGCCCGGCTAATTTTTTGTATTTTTAGTAGAGACGGGGTTTCACCATGTTAGCCAGGATGGTCTCGATCTCCTGACCTCGTGATCCGCTCCTCTTGGCCTCCCAAAGTGCTGGGATTACAGGCGTGAGCCACCGTGACCGGCTAGGATTCCATTTTAAGCTCAGTTTCCTGAGATCATTTCTGGTACCAATTACTGCTTGGGCCAAGGTCCAGCAGAAATCTGTTGGCTCACTCGAACTGTTTAAGAAGTATTTAATAAAAGAATTTTTTACAATGGAGAGGACCCTAACAAAATCAATACAAAAAATAAAGCATCTTAACCTAGCTACACAAAAGGAAGCCATTTTCATGCTTAAGCTAAAAGAGGAAAAGGAAAGATGACTCTCAAAATTCAGAAAGAGTCATGGTGCAAGAGGGATTACCACCCAACCAGAGCTGTGGTTTGATGTAGAGAATTGCAGCCACTGACAACAGACCAAAAAAGCAGATAGGAGAAACCAAGGGAATACATACCCTCACCTCTTTCTTTCAGACTTCAAATTTCCTATCCTCTCTCCATTTTTCTCCGTAAGTCTTCCATTCCAGTTGTTTCACCCCTGGGTCAACAGGGGAATTCTAAAGTCCTTTATTTCTTCCTCTCTGGCTATTTTCTTCTCACTGCCTGCCTCCCCAACCCTTTCTTCTCTGAGCTACGGGATTCTCCTAAAGTGTCTTACAAAACATCTAACCATTTACATTCCAGTGTAAACCTGCATTTGTCTGTATTAAATTGCTGCCAGTTTATCAGTAATCAGAATGGTCCCCAATCTAGTCCCATCTGTAATTTATTGTTTAGAGAGTTCCCTGAATTGTCTATGAGACCTTGAAAATGACTACATTATGGCAATTTCCTCCTTGATATACTTTCTTAACAACTGCCATGTGCTGTAAAAAATTTTAGATATCCTACAAAATGTGTGGCTGAAATGTTGTCAAATATTTACATAGAACAAATATTTAACTTCTTGATCATTAAACTTGAGAGAAAAGTCTCATTAATTGCTGACTGGAATTAGGAGAAAAATCATGTCTTATGTATATATAACTATGTTGTGTGTGATAGTGAGTAAAATACTGCTATTTGATTATAGATTTTCACTTTTAATTCTTTCTCCATTTGGATACTTTCTATTTAGCCCTTCAGATCTACTCTTCCCCTTACATACTCTGCTCTTTGCCTTGAAGCCCTAAAAATTATAAACTGACTCCTACCCCTTCTGCTTTCCTTTTGGGTTTGGCCAGTGGGAAACCCAAGCAGGAGACTGGAGGAAGGAAGAAGTATGAAATTGTATATTTCTCTAGTTCATGAGATTCCCTTATGCCTGGCTGTTCCCTTCACAACTGGTCATGTTATCATGATCAAGATAACTTGATCCTCTCAGTTATCTTCTTTACACTCTTCCTGGGTTCTCAGACTTTCTCCCCAAATTCATTTGAGACTAGAGGGAGAGACAGCCTGTCTGATACTGGCCCTGTGTTCCTTTACTATTCTTTTAGTTTCCCTACCCACTACCCACACCTTACAATAAGGCCCTTTGTAAATAAACTCTCCTTGGCTTAAGCTATTTCGAGTGTGCCATCCATTTCCTGTTAAGACTGACTGGCAAACCATTACTCATCACCGCAGGTCCCTAATGTATATGTGGTCAAGGTCACTTCTTTGGTTTATTGGAGAAGGGGGTTGTTATGGTTTATTTAACCAAGTTTATTCTTCTTACAATTTCACCATGGTCCACGGGGAGTTTTTCTTGCGTATGCTAATAGCTCCATTGTTTACCCAGAATTAAGGTTTTTTATTTATTTATAGTGTCAATTGTTTTACTGGGATTATGAGAAGGATGGAAGGTGAAAGCAGACAATAAACTGCAAAGATTCAAATGCCTATACTAAAATAATGAGTTTTTTTATCCTGCTTACAGAAATTTTCAAGAAAGAGCATTTTATAATGTTTCCTCCCCTCCACATACTGATTAGCTTCCTATAACTACATTTTATCTAAAACAAATAACTTGAAAGTTGTCTAGTTTTTATTTGGTTGTTAGATTTTAACTCTAATATACTTGAAATTTTTTTAAAAATTTAATGTGAAAACACATTTTAAAATGTTTTCTTTACTCCAAAATATTAATTTCAGTAACAAAACTGCATTTCAATTTAGCACTAACTTCCTAACAACAATATACTTATATAGAAATGTTTTCTCTTGATATAACTCAAAATACTTATGAAAAACAAAAAATAAAATCAATAAACAGATTAAATTGCATTTCCATACTCTGTGACCTCTGTATTACCCTATAAGCAGTGAACAAAATGCCGATCATCAAACAAATATTCCTGGATCACCTAAGGAGGAGGTCTCTGGGATTCTATAATCTTAGGTGTTGTGTCTGAGTGATGTTTCCATCTGATCTCATCAATTTCAGGATCATCAAGTATAAATGAAGCCAGCACTGGAATCTGAGAAAAATAGTTCTTAGCCAGGATATGCTTGTGTTTGATCTTGTGAATAAACGAGCGTTCATATCCCTGCAAAGAAAAAAATCAAATCCTAGTAAATATTGCAGATATATTTTGCCAGATAAAAATACTGTCATGCCTCGGTGCCTTTGCTTGTCAATTCTTTCATCCCAGATTACATTTATTTTTCTCACATTGTCTATCATCATTCACGACTCAGTTCCTATGATACTTTAACCTGGAAGTCTTCCCCAACTCTCCCTCTGACTTCTCTAAGTTTAAATCGCTGCTAGTTACCAACTCAGTATTCATTCTCTCTTCCATTTGAGCCAGAGGCCTGATTTTGTACAGGGTGTGATATGTCTAGCTTTCTTAGTCTTTATTCTAACTGGGGGTGTCTAGTTAGAAAATATATATATATATAAAAAATTATATTATTAATGTTATAGATATTGAGGTCAGAAAAAACAAAAATAAAAAAAACAAAACAAGGAAAGTCTGAGAAACTGTCACCACCAAGAAGCATCTAAGGAGACATGACAACTAAATGTCTTCCAAGATTATTTAATTATACACTATATATAATCTTATATAATTATTTATATATATAACTGAATAAAGACTTTTAAAGGGACTTTTAAGAGTGGGAAGACTCGCCTATTAAGCACCTCTAGCCTTTTGCCATTACTGAGAGGTACATGTAATGAAGTAGATGAACTAGCTCTCCTATCACTAAGAGTCCATCAAGCGTGAGAGAGAAAGCTGAAGATTAAATATGGCTGAGGAAAAAGTGAGATAGCCTGAATTTCTGAGAACGAGGTGAGCCACCATAATAGCCCCAAACCGCCAACATTTGAACTTTCTTGTTACATAAGAAAAGTAAACTCACATTTGATTAAATCATTATAAATTGATTTTTTCTTCTTGTAGCTGAACCCAAATGCAGTTGAGACAACAAAAAGTTATATTCATTAAATTTTCTTGTTTCTCTGTAATTACTTAGTACAGTATTTGGCACATTCAAAAGTAAATTCTGGTTAAATTAATAAATATAATCTATTACCTATTAATCTTAATTGGCTCTCTTTTCAGTCAAATCACAAATACTACCTACACTTCTTCCTAAAATTTATTTTCTGAGAATAAAACATTCCCTTTATTAAAAAGGTCAAATCAAAGATAAAAGAAAGTCCTGGGTGAAAGGACCAAAGGAGAAGAAAGCATTATATAGGAGTATCCTGGGCTTATTAAAATTTCTTCTTAACAGAAAAATTTACTAGGTTAGAATATTCATCTTTTGAGCTAATCTAACTCTGTTTCTACTACTTCATAGCCCATATTTCATTCAAGAAAAACACACTTTATTATGCTATATTAACTTACACATGTACAGAACTTTACAGGTTTTTAAAGTGCCTTTACAGAACTATAAATTAGTAAAGATGAGATAAATTATGATATATGTGTTCAAGGCACTAATAAGTAACTCTTAAATAATTGAATATATTTCCATATTATATTATTTATATTGTTAAGTAAAGCAAAGACACTCTGAGTCATTTAATATGAAATTCCTGCTACAGTAAAAGTGTATATACTTACATACACATAGAAAATTTCCAGATATATATAAGAAATAGTAGTTATCATTGTAACATGGAGATAGGGATGCGTGGACATCAAGAGACCTTTTTTTCCCATTGAAATAAGGTCCATTCTCTTGAAATAGCCATGTGATGGTTTTAAACTATGTCCACAAATTCTTTGGGTGTACAAATAGTTCTAAGAATATTACAGAAAAGTCCCATATACCCCACACCCACATTTTCCTGAATGTTTCTCAATCTGGGTTTGTCCTATGTTTTCTTCATTATTAGACTGAAGGGATGGGTTTGGGGAGGAAGGCCACAGGGGTGAAGTGCCCTTCTCCTCACATCATATCAAGGGTACATACCGTCAACATGACACCACTCCTGCTGTTAATCTTGATTACCTGGCTGAGGTAGTGCTTGTCAGGTTTCTCTACTATGAAGTTCCTCCTCTTCCATCCATAATATACTCTTTGGAAAGGAGTTATGCACAGCCCACACTTAAAGGGTGGAGAGTTATTCTCCAACTCCTTAAGAGTGGAGAGTATATACATAAATTATTTGGAATTCTACATGGGAGATTTGTTTATTTGCCTTCCTTTATTTATTCATTCAATTATTTTTAAAATGTTTAAATTGATAATAATTGTACATATTTATGGGGTACATCGTGATGGGATGATACACATATCCTGATCAGAGTAATTAGCATATTCATCTCAAATATTTATTATTTCTTTGTGCTGGGAACTTTTGATATGCTGCTTCTAGCTATTTGGAACTATATATTGTAATTAACTATAGACAACCTACAGCGGCACAGAACAGTACTAGAACTCACTCCTCCTATCTAGCTATAATTTGTGTTATCCTTAACAAATATCTTCCTATTCCCTCAACCTCTGAGACTTTTACTTTCTACATTACATTTTTTACTATGTTCAGATTCTAAGCCAATAATATATTGCTTTTATGAAAATTAAAAATGCATCAAAAATTTTTAAAGCGCTTTCATAGTTACTACGTAAGTTTATTCATGCCAAAAAAAAACTATGTGGAAAGCTTTAAATAATGGTCTACTCAAAGCTTCCCTATGATGAGATACCATTATCTCTTTTTTATAGACAAGAAACTGGGTCATTGAGACATTCACAAATTTGTCCAATTTCTCCCAACTCATGAATGGTAAAGCTAGAATTCAGAGCCAGGGCTGCTTTTATCCTCTTTACTGATTCCACTTATTTAGCTAATCTTTCTAAAAATCTATGAAGCAAAGAGGGCAGGTTTTAATGTAAAGTTGTCAGTGACAGAGATTTGAGTAAATGGGTCAGGATTACTGATTTTAAGTCCACGATTGTTCCTACTTTGGCCAATGTGCACACAAGGAGAGATCAATCTGCTCCACTTAAAGTTCACATTAACGAAAAGTGTTTTTCCACATTTCCTATACCTGTTTCATATTAACTTTAAAGCATTTTTTAACTTCTTAAGAAAGCAAATATCTCTGAACATTAAGAAAATTCTGAAAATGTTCCATCTTTCTGCAAGACACAAACTACTCTTTAACTGGGCTGAAAGTTAATAGTTAAAAGACTGTATCAGCCCAAAATCATAAAAAAGGCAAATGTTCTTCCAGTTTGTCTGGTTGCAAATCTTGGTGCCCTTTATAGAAATTCGATAAGACTAGCATTCTGAAATTAGAAATGCATGTGAATAGAACATTTAATTCGATACTGCAGTAATTTGATTAAATGCACAAAGGGAGTTGTGTGGATTAATTGAAGAAGCACTGGAATATCAGCTTTGGGAATGAACCTCAATCTCATCATGGGTCCTAGATGAAATGATATTGCTAGTATTTACTATGCTTCCTGTGGTTAAATATTTATGAGGCAGCTTAGTTTACTAAATATAACATTTAAGACAGCTTCAACTTATTGCTACCTTTTCTTTCAATCCCTAGAGTGAAATTTTCCTTAGCCTTGCTTCCTAAAACTAAAAAAATATTTAAAAACTAAAACCTTAGCTAGTTTCTTATCTTTATATTAATCACCCCTTGTTCCATGAAAAAAACAAACAGGGAATCACACTATTTTAAATGACTATTGTATTTTGTAATTTCTTTACTTTACTTAGCTGACATTTTTTATAGAATTAAAGAATGCAGAGAATCAGTATTAATTATTGGGATCCTGAACTTAGTGTAACTGGAACTCTCTAGGAACTCTTCAGGAGCCCCTCAATTTATCCATCAAAATGTTTTACAGATTGCATCATGTAAGTTACTAAAATTACAGTAAATGGCATTTAATGTTTATAGTGCTTGCTCCGCTCCTGGCAAGTTGGAAGCAAATGAAAAATGGAGCATCAGAACTACACTCCATCAGTATGATTGCCATTTAGAGCACAAAATTATGAAAAAAATTTGAGAGTTGGGTGTTTTTAAGCAGACTCAAGATAATTAATCAAAGAAGGACAGATTCTGGGTTCCATAATACCTATCTGGTGGTAATGCACATTTATTCATTCAACAAATACTTAGAAACTCCACTCTGCAACAGCCAGCATTGTAGGTATCAGAGAAATAGATGTAAATAAGCTGAACAAAATCGCTGCCTTCATGGAATTTACTGTGGAATATGCTTAAACTTGTTATTAGGAGAGACTGGTATGATGTTTAGGACTTGTAATATGTTCAAATCTCTTATATATACCTTTTATTTAATCTGTGCCATATATGCCATTCATATATTTTTTTGCTGTTAATCCATAAGTTCTGTTTCTTAATCTGATGGAAGTATTTAAGCATGGAATATATTAGAAGGCAGTCCAGTTAGCTCTAATAATTCCAATGATTAAATTAACTTCACAAATAAAATTCATCTTTCTTACCTCTTCAATACTTGTTAGGTTGAGATGAGCAGCCGCTTCATCTTTGGTAAGAAGAATACAGTTCCAGGGGGACCACTCCAGGGATTTATTCCATCTGACCATGACCAGATCACTGAGATCGTCCCAGGCACTGAGGACGGACTGGGACGCCCAGATGTTCTCTGTCAGGTACTGAATGTCTTGTAGCTGCATGTCAAAGCAAGTTTTAAAAACAATGTAGTTTAAATTCGTTTAAGATTATTATATTACTTGAACAAATAATTAAGTTATAGAGTATTTTTAAGTGGAATATTATTCACTAGGTTTCAATGACACATAGCCCCTTATTTTTCACTAAACTTCTGTTCATTTTGCCTAAACTACATTATCAGTCTCACAGTTGTGTCCCCATCTCTAAACCAGAGTAAGCAGTATAAATTTATTTCAGTATGCTAATTTTATCTTAATATAATCTTAATAATACTGTAATGTTACCATAATAAACATATGGTATTCAATGATTTTTAAAAACTCATTAGTTTTTGTTCAAATATTCAAATTATGCCTCAAATACTATTACTGAAATAAATATTAATCAAAATTACACCAATTACAAGGGGGGAAGTTACTGGACACTCATATTTGTCTGCTAATCCTAGACATTGGAAAAGTAATATAAGAGACCAAAACCCTACACAGATACAGTATTGAAATTAAATCACATCTAATGGAGATTATCCTTATCTGAAAGGTTACAATGCTCCACTAGAATTTTTTCATTCAATATGTGTAATGGTTGATTTTACATCAACTTGATGAGGCCACAGGATACCCAGATATTTGGTCATATGGTATTCTGGTGTTTATGTGAGGGTAGTTTTGGATGAGATTAACATTTAAGTCAATAAACTGAGTAAAGCAGATTGTCTTCCATAATGTGAGTGGGCTTTATCCAATCAGTTGAAGGCCTGAATAGAACAAAAAGTTGACCCTGCCCCCAAGTAAGGAAGACTGTTCTTGCCTAATGGCCATTGAATTGAGACATTGGCTCCTCCTGGTTCTATAGCAGCCTGCTGGTCGTCAGACTTGAACTGGGCCATCAGCTGTTTAGGTTTTAGATTTACCAGCCTCCATAATTATGTGAGAAAATTCCTTGTAACAAATCTCCTTATATGTATATATATATATAGCATATATGTATAAAATTTCCTGTTGGTTCTGTTTCTCAGGAGAAATCTGACTAATACAACATGGAATATTGAGGCAGCACTTGTTGGTGACTTATATTAAAACCCTAGTACATATAAGATTCTCTACAAGGAAATATACATCTGTCATGTCAATAATTCCTGAATAAAAGTAGCAAATAAGAATTTAAGCTGATATAAACATCAAATTTATTAATAAAATATTCATTCTATTGGACAAAATATGTAATCATTTTAATTTGTGTTTTTCAAACTGTGGGTTGCTACCTCTTGGGTGATACCAAAGTTTTCCAAATGGAAATTAGAATTAGTAGACTGAGACTGAATAGAAAACATCAGAGTGCATCCATAGGGGTAAAGATAAACATTATTTTGGAAACTCTTATTTCTGAGGCAGAACAGCATGTGTTTACATGTATGGATTCTGGGACTCAAACTGCCTAGTTTTCAATCTTGGTGCTGGTACTTAGTAGCGTAAACTTGGACAAGTTTGTTAACTGCTCAGTGCTTCACTTTCCTCATCTGCAGAATAGAAATAAGGCTATTTTGATGGGAATTTTGTGTTGATTAACTCAATAAAGTATGTAAAGCCATATAGGTACTGAGTATTGAGAATTATCATGCATGCCTATATCAGGTTGTCATAAAAATACATTTTTACTGTAGATTGAGATTTAAGAGTTTGAAAGCTACTGATTTAGAAGAATTTTTTAACAAAGCACATCACATTTGGTACCTGTTTTTAAATCTCTATAAAGTTTTCTATTCATAGTAGTGCCTATTTTCCTATTTGGTATTAAACACAGTTTAGTTCATTTTAATTAATAACTTTAATTTACAGAAAATTTGCCCTTATTTGACAGTCTGTGAACACAAATATCATTAATGAGGTGAATAGTGCACTATAACATACTTTTATTAATAAGTGGCTCATGTTGGGTAGTCATATCAACAACAAGTAAGTCCTTCTCTTTTCTCACTCCCTTACGTAAGTCCAAACAGTGTCAGGAATTTGTTTTTATGGAATAACCAAAGAGACCAAAGTAGTGGTTAAGTTAGGAATTCAGGTCAGAGTTCTTGATCTCACAGGCTCCACCCTCTCACAGAGCTAGGAGAAGTTCTTAAGAGAAGTAGATTGCGGATAGGGTCAATGATCCAATGCAATGTCATCCAAAAGAACTCTGGCCAGAAATTTTCCAGTTGTGTGGTATCATACCAACACTTTACATAGACAAGTATCAAAGTCTTTCCCTAAGGTTTTTTTTTTTTTTTTTTTTTTAAACTTTCTATAAGCCTTAGCTTTCACTTTTGGTGTTATTTACCATTATGGTCACATTCGGTTTACACTAATTAGTACTGTTATTCATAAACACTAGTATGTGTATATGTAACATCAGTTTCTGTAAAAGTCATTCATTCATTCAACAAATATTGAGGGCCTTAAATAAAAACTTGGTACTGTATTAGGTTATAGAGGTATAATGGTGAGCAGGAGGAATAAAAAGCATACTCCTGCCCTTACAGAGCTTACAGTCTAGTGGAATAGAGAGTCATTAAACAATCACACACACACACACAAACACGCATAAGATTGCAAGACAGCCTCCTTGACAGGCTTCAGCTATAATTGGCACCCCTTATTGACCATACCTGCATCAAGAAAGCAATTTTAGAATCATCTTCATAATCAGCTTCTGTAAAGTAGAGCTGTTGAAGTAAACATCTGTACTTCAAAAATGATTCTCGTTTTTGAGCCTCATTCTCAAGGCTAATGCAGTTACGACACCGGTATATGCGGCGTGAGGTGGATGATATAGAAAACTCAGTAGAAGGCAAATAAAGCTGGCAACTGTGGCAAAAGTAAATCTTTTTATAAAATTTCAATGGGTCTTGAGGGACCTAAATAGTAAAAAAATAAATAAATAAATAAGCCAGGCCAGGCCAAATATGATCCTAACCAATAGAAGCATCAAGGGCTAACTTATCTTAGAATGAGATTAAAAAAAAAAACAGTTGGCTAATTTCCAAAATTATATTTTCCCTTAACTTCTTATTCTATAGAAAATCTAAATTTCAAGCAGTATTTATTCATCCTGCCAAAATACTGAAAATCTGTTATTCATCAATTCTTAGATATTCGTTGTAAAATCACTTAGAAAATTAATTGACTGAAAAAAATAGTAGGAGGAGGCTTTTTATTGTTAAGAAAAGTTTAGATTTTTTTCAGTTCTACATTAGTTATTCCTATAGGCAATAGCTAGATTCACATATAAGTAAAAACCCACTAAACCAATTGTTCTTCTCGTTTAATTTATCTTCAAAATAAATTTGGATTAGTTCAAATGATTAATTTTCAAAGTTTGAAATTCTATGTCTAAAACAATAGACAGAGAGTAATTCTATCAACAAAATAATCAATCCAATCATTCACTATGGGCTAAAAATTCACTATTCACTATGGGCATGAATGAATGAGTGAACTGTGAACATCTCAACACAAACTGAATCAAGATGTATATAAGCCAGTCTTTCCTAATTTATGGTACATCAGTACCTCTGGCTTCCATGAAAGTAAAGATCAAGCAGCAACAGAGTTTGCATGTGATATATAAGACTTTCAAAAAATATTTTTATAAAGAAGGAAATAGACATCAATGTTCTATAAATCTATAAATTTTTTCTCTTACTCAATATAGATTTAAAATATTTACCATTATAATCCCTTCCAATGTTTTACTTTGTTCTGAACATCTGTTACCTTTCTGCACCTTCCCTTCTACTCTGCCTTACTTTTCCTAAACGCTCCATCTTCCTGAAGGGTAATATTCTTTAAAAACTTCATTGTCCCTTGTCTTGTAATTTTGGGAGATAAGACAATATGTAAATTTAAAAGGTAGTCAATTCTTCGAGAGAAAAGAAGAGTGATCTGGGGTATATGGATCAAAGATCCAGAAGACAACTTATCTGGTTTATTTTCTTATTCTGAGATTTACACATTTTGTTTATCTTAAATGATTATTTTATCTTCATGCCTCCTATGCATTAAATTAGCAAATACATCAGTAAACCTCATGAAAACACGTTAGCACACCTCTCCATTATAGATGGAGCATTTATTATAATGCCATGGAAAGATATTCTCTACCCATCTGAAATTGTGCAAGAAAAAAAAAAACTCATTCTCATTATTATTATGATGACAGAGGGCTCCATTTAAGCTGCAGAATTTAACACTATGCATTCTCCAGAGTACACTGGGTACTTCATGCTGGCCTACTCCCAAAAAGTGGTTGTGGGGGTAGTGGTGTTCCTTCAAATTCTTCTCCCACTATGCAAACTAAAAATGTGCAAATGAGCCATTCCTTTTTAAAGCCAGTAACGTTTAAATCCAGCCAGTAGTTTAAGATATTAAAGAGTATATTCCCCCCAAAAAAGAAGTACAGGATAATCCATAGGTGTGTCCTAGATTCAAGAACAAACTTTAAACCCTTTATCTTAATTAATATATTTATCACATACCGCAGGCAGAAACGCAACATGGTGCAGTCAGTTTGGAAAAAAAATGTTTAGTAGTCTCTTTTTAAAGTAAACATGCATTTACCATGTGATTCAATATGCCACTTTCTAGGAATTTACCCCAAAACAATCAATTTACCCAAAAACTCGTATATAGTACTTATAATGGCTTTATTCATAAAAGACCAAAACTCTAAACAATCCAAATGTCCTACAACTGTGAATGGATTTTTAAAGACTTCTTGTATATCCAGATACTAGAATATTTTTCGGCTATAAAAACAAACCACTGACACACTCAAAAACATGGGTGAATCTCAAATGCAATATGCTAAGTGAAAGAAGTCAGTCTCAAAAGACTACATATAGTATGATTCCATTTATATGACCTTCTGAAATAGATAAAACTATAAAAATAAAATACATATCAGTGTTTGCCAAGGATCGGGAAGTTAGGGAAAGGGCTGACTACAAAGTGGCAGCATGAGAGAATTCTGGGGGATGATAGGACCATTTCTTATTTTGACTGTGCTACTGGTTATATGACTCTATACATTTTTCAGAACTTACCAAAAAGAGTACATTTTACCAAAGGTAAAATTTAAAAATAAATAAAATGATATAACATTATGTAAAGTTGTAGAAACTCTATCAATTGTATTACTCCAAATATAAACCGAATAAATCTACAGAGAAAGAAGGTGGCTCAGACAAATGAAATACTGGTTTGAATAAGAAATAATATAATGGGAACTTTTTCTCTTGGACTTTTGTTATATTTTAATATTTTTGCAATACAATCAGGTTTTAAAAAATCAATTTGAAAAATATAAAAATTAAACAGTATTCTTCTAGAAGTCTTGACTAAATATAAGATTTTGTTTTTTCAAAAAAGCTAAAGATGTTTAGTCAGCTTTTTAAGTAAATTTTAACTGAATATAATCATTGAAATAAAACTATTAATTCTCTGACAACATTCTCCACCCCAAGAGTTTTACTAATAGTGTTTTAAATAGCTCTGCACAGTAAGAAGGCAATGAAAATTCCCACAGAAGCCTAACGACGTTGCAGTTGGAGAAGATAGTGTAATTCAAATACATTACATTTGAAGTTCTCTCAGAAGATCCATATGGATCTGTTCAGTAATAACTATAACTATGTGATAAGTGTTTTAAGGAACACAGACAAGGTATAACATAGAATCTCAGAAAAAAACAATTTAACTCCCTGTGATGCCTCATGAAGGAGAAGAGATGAGAGTTGAGTCTTAGAAAATGAAGAGGAATTGGCTGGGTAAATAGTGAATGGTTCCAGGGGAAACCAACAGTATGTACAAAGCCATGGAGGTGTGAGAAATCATAATACATTCAACATAATGCAATATTCAGTTGGAAAGTTGGTGAAGATATTAGGAAATAATTGAAAGTTGGAAATACTCAGAAGTCAAGTGAGTAAGTGTAGTTTACCAACATACAAAATAATCATTCAAAGGAGATACCACCAATAAGATGGTATTCCACATGGACTCCAAGGAAAGTGTTAAAGCAAAACTTGAATATACTTCAATTTACTATACCACATCTTAGGATTTTGAAAAAGGAATATAAAGAAGTAGAATACCTTAAGGTATTTTGCAACTTCAGGATTAAACAGAGGTGTTTTGATATAATGAAAAAAGAGTGTCGCAATTCTTTTTCTGAGTCCTTCAAGGTTATGATGTTTGACTCCTCTCATCATAAGGTCAACCTCTCTGTCAATCAATTCTAGAATTTCCTGAGTTAGTTTACATTCATGTTCCTACACAAAACACAAAAATATATGGTATAAAATTTTACAGATCACTAAGTTCATTTTCAAATTGCCACCAAAACAAACCAAAATCTACATTCCAAAAGAAATGAAACATTGCCAATAGGAATATAAATTGGCAAAACTAATTTGGAAAAAAATCGGTATATCCGACACACTAGAGTTAAATATATGCAAAATCTATGACCCAGGAATTCTACTCTTAGGTGCTTTAAAGAAATGTGCATGTAGAGCTCTACTGTTCATATTAACTGAAAATTAGAAACAGCCAATAGTCCATAAATAGATTACATTAATAAATTACAGCTTATTTACACAATAAATTATCTAATATATGGAAATAAATGAACTATAGCTATAGTTCATTTTTTGTTGTATATATAGCTATATACAACAAAAACTTAAATCTTACAAATTAATTTTAAGCAAAATACTGAAAGTACAAAATAACAGATATAGTACAATTCTGTCAAATAAAATTCAAGAATAAGCAACACTAAATCATATTATTTACATATTTATACAGAGGTGGTAAAACTATGAAGAAAAATCAAGAAAATGACTACCATGAAAGTCAGTATGATAGTTACTTCTAGGAGATGACAGGAGGAATTGGAAAAGAGGACACCAGAAACATTGACAACATCCTGTTTAATATTTGTTAAACTGTATGTATATATTTTATTCACTTTTCTGCCTATTTATTATAGGTCACAATATTTTTTATAAAGTAATATAAATGAGTGTGGTTGGATGAAAAAGCCACAAGTAATAAAGTGATTAATGTAGAAGTATTTATTAGGTCCTCCAATTGCCCAAGGGAAAACTGGAAGATACACAGCTTGAATGAAGGAGTCAGAAGATAAAGTCATTAATTGTAAAATAACGCTCTTCTGTACTTTGTACTACATGGTTGGTAAGGCTAATATGAGAGTCTGCATCAGTGGTCCTTTACCCTGGAGGCACTTTAGAAGGACCTCAGGGAGATTTTTAAAAATTTTAATATTGTCCTCATACCTGAGGAGCTAATTTAACTGCTCTAAAGTTGGGCCTAGATTTATACTCATTTATGCTCATATTCATTCATGCTGTCCCTCTTGCAGGCTCTCCAGGTGATTCTAATATGCACTGAGGTTTAAAATTCACTGGTCTGTATTAGTAACTACTATCAAAATAACACCTATTATTTATTGAGGCCCCCCCTCTTTGTAAGGCACTATATTAAGTTTTTATATTTATATATGTGTGTGTGTATATATATACATACATGTAGATACACACATACATATTCTCAAAGTAACTAATTTTACAAATGACAAAACTGATTTTCATAAGAAATATTAACTTATTTTAAGGTTGTGCAGCCATAAATGAAGAGTCAGAATTTGAGTTGTGCTTAAAGACTTTAACCCTCCATCAAAATATTTTCAAGTAAATGTATACATGAATATTTCATACTAAACATAGTAAGATATGCATGATTTGCCTTTTATGAGTCCATCCTTTGGCCTTTTTATTACTGGTCCTAATTATGTCAGGATTTATATTATATTCCCTATGCACTCTCTTTTTGCCAATCTGGTCTTTTTACTGCCCTCTGTAAGTATCATGTTTATTTCCTACCTCTGGACCTATTGCTTCTCCCTCCCTACCTATCTCTTATCTTTCAAGGTTGGTCACTATGCAAACATCTTTGAAAAGGTAGTCCAGAAAAAAGGCAGTCAATGCCTCTGCTGGTAAGAAATGCAAGATATCTTTGGAGATCTCCCAGGAAGAACCATTTACCCAATTATTTAATGTGTTTTAAGAGTTTTGTGTGCCTTGGAGGACAGACACATAAACTCATCAACAGAAAGAGTGTTCTTTACAGTTAGGAGTACAGAAACCTACACAGAATATCAAAATGTTATGCTTATGAAATTCTCAGGTTTGTAATCATGTAGCTCACTTAGATGGACCTAAATATGGCTGACAGTTTTCAGTTGTTACATATAGTGAACCACTGATTTTCACTACAATATCTATGCCTGTATGTTCTGGCAATCTGGGCCATATTGATGACCAAAACAGACTGACCATGCAGTTATCTAATCCATTGCTTATGTATAAACTTTAGTTAATACAGATGATCACTCAGAAACAACCTATATTTCTGTGCTATACTGAACAAGCATCTGCCAAGTGTTTTATTAACTTGAGAACTCAAAAGCACAATTCAGAACCCAAATACTTTTTACCTGTATTGCCCACTTATTACATAAGCTTACATTAAATATTGAGCTTACATTATGGTCAGGATAAATTAAATAAAATAATGTAAATTATTTAATTTGGGCTATAAAATGCAAGAGCTATACCAATGGTCCTAATAACAGTAGAGTTTCCCCCTTTAATTAGAAATATAGAAAACATATTCATTGTAATGAAAGTTCGAGTGTGTTGCCCAGATCAGCCCTACTTCAGCACTGAAGGAGACTCTCAACGGCAAGTTGTGGTAGCTGACAGCCCTCCACTGAGCCTCTCTCTGAGAATTCCCTGTGCTGAAGAGAGCCATCTGGCCTAAAGATAGACAGTTACCATCAGCTGAAAACAAACTGCCTCATCTAAGGTCATATTTCTTCTCAGGGACATCGTGAATCAAATGACTAATTGCTGTGGCAGTATAGAGACCCATGATCCTGTGAGAGTCTGGGGTATGTGAAAACAAAAACTAAATCAAGTCTTTGCCCAGGTCCAGCTCATAATGGATCTACTGGGTTCAAAGGGCCACCCAGTATTCATTTCCCTAGTCCTTGAATATATAACTGGAATAGAATACTTGATAGTTGGCACAGCCTCACTACCCTTGATTTCTTGACCTGTGGAGTAAGAGCTATCATGATGAGGAAAACCAAGTGGAAGCCCCTGAAACTGCCCTAGCCTGGGAACAGAGGAGGTGAAAGTAAAAATGGCCCCACTTACTACTTGGGAAATTTTTGCTTCCTGCTGTAACTCAGGACTATTTAAGTTTACAGGTCCTAATTCCGGGAGGAAAAATTCTTCTAATGTAAGACATAGTGCAAGTCCTATTAAACTCCGAGCTACAACTAATGCCTAAGCTCTGCAGGCCAAGAGACCTGTGGGCAAGGCAAGTGTTTCCTTAGTTATAGAGGTAACTGACTCTGATCTTCAAAAGCAATGGTGCAGTTATTACCCAATAGGGACAGAGAAGAATATGTTTGGCACCCAGGTAGTGGGCATTTCTTGGTATATCTTTGCCTGATTTTGACAGTAAATGGAAGTCTGGTAGCCTCAGCCTGAGAAAAGCAGAGTGACCTGTGGTTCAGACCTCTCAAGTTGCAAGTCACTCCAAAAAGTAGACCAACTGGACCTGTCAAGGTGCTAGTTCAGGGAGAAGGAAATCTAAAATAGATAGTAGAGGAAGGAAACAGTGAGCATCTCCTGTGGCCTTAAAGCCAATGACTACACTAGGGGCTGCAGTTTTTCTTATTAACCTTGCTTTGGAGCCTAGCTAAATCCGGAGGAGCTAATCCTAAAACCTACAACATGAAGTGGATCCAGGCAACAGTATGTGTATTCTCCCCATCCTGGTAGATTGTTGGCTGACAACTCTCAAGTGAGGCTCTTTCTGAGAATTGCTCTCTAATAAAGAAAGTTATCTCATTCAAAGTCATGCCCTTCTGGCGGCAGCCCATCCAATAAATGGTCAAAGTGGGAGTAAACTGTCCTGCCTCAATTCAGGACAACTCTGGATGGCCTTTAAAGTTTCAGAATTCCCCGTGACACTGGCTGAAGTCATTGTTGAGAATCCACCACAATTTAATTTCTCTATCCTGCCAATTCTGATTTCTCTACTGCCTCACAGGAATTATCCCTGATAGCACTCTCCAACAAACTTCCTAAATATAAAACCCATCTCTGAGTTTGTTTCTTGTTTCTTGGGAAAATTTGATCTGTGACATCCACTAACCTTGTTTTCATTAAAAGTAGGATTAAGAACACAGAAAATCAATAACTGACGAGAAAAAAGATAAAAATACAATGGAGCTGCTTTAAAACTGCTAAAAATCAATTTTTCACTGAAAAATGTCAAAATATGTAAATAATTGCTGTTTATGTAATTATTAATCTCATGCCATACTGCATATATTTTCATTCATTGCATAAAGATATATTTATATTCATTACACTATATTTACATTTATTATGTATTATAACATATTTCGAGAACTTTTAGGTAAATATTAATGAATAAACCACAACCTTCCCAAATTATACCAAAACAATTCTTAATGTAAAACACTTTACTTGTTTTAGTATTTTATTAATTTTTTTTATTGATAGTGAACTCTACCCCCAAACTAAAAGAAAGTTAACATACCTTTACAGTGTGTTTAAGAGTTAAGAGCACATCCAGCCTCTCATCTTGAGAGATATTTTTCAGCATGATGCACTTATAGATATTTTGCAGCTCTCTGGCTCTGATGGTGAACTGCGTATCCATCTCAATTGTTTTGCCATTAGGGGTTCTCCATATCTTTGGAGCTGAACACTTAAAAATAATATTATGTTTATAACTATCAGTTAATTAGAAACTACAAATAACAATTTTGCTCCTTCTACTAAAAGTCTATCTTAATATCATGTGCTTTATAACTAGAGTATCGCTAAAGCTTAAAGAAAATTAATTTAAGAATTTATAGATCAGGCAAAAGTAAAATATTTTAGGAAAAAAACAAATATGAAAGAGTTATTCAGTCTGTAGAAGTTCATACACTTCTACAATATTCAGGATTTGCTACTAGTCTTTATGTTGAATTGTTTGAGAGATGTATGGAATTACTCCTTAACCACCTAAGAACAATTATCTGCTTGGTTCAATTATATTGAGTGTATATAAATATGTCTTGATCCTGCCTTGCCAACTGAAGATAACTTTTGTAGAGTAATTATGACAATCCTCAATATATTTAGACCTAAAGATATACCAAAAAGGGACTCTGTGAGTTATGGTTTAATGTCCTATAAAAATACTTCTATAACAAGTTCAAAATTCTTCTCAAAGCAGATGTCCATAGTGAAAGAGCTATATTGCTATCTTAGCAGTGCTGGGCTGTGGTTCCTGCCTCCCTGATGCTGGCTAAGATTCTCACTTCCTATTTCCAAATCTGGCTTAGTGTCTCCCAACCTAGCCCACCTCCTAAATGAAGGGCCAAAAATGAAGTTCACTTGCCCTGAAGCTCATCTGAGGACTCCCAGGCTAAGAATTCAGAGATTAGAGACAGGAGGTGAAATTAGTCCTCTATCGACTCAGGAAACACAGGATAATCTTTAATGATGGTACCTCTGTGTTTGCCACTGCTTCTGTTCCCTCTGACAGGGACATTCAGAGGAGATGCATTCACCCAGAAATTTCACAGTGAAAACTTACTCTCTATTAGCTCCTCTACTTTAGGGTACAAAGCTGCTCAGTTTCTTTCCCTAATGATAAATTTTCAGAAACAAGACTATGTTGATCATGACAACTCTTCAAATGTTGGATGTTTTTGTAAGTTAACTGTAGTTGCTCTGGTGTCCTTGTAGCCCAATTTATGCCGTACTTGCAACCATTTAAATCTTAGATGTGATCTAACATAAGGTTTAAATGGAAGCTCTATGTATTGGAACAGACCATCAGGAATGTGGACTAACCAAATAGAGACATCATATAAAACTGTATTAAAATGACAGCATCAGGAGGAAATTTTAGTTGTAACATCAATTTACATCTAATTTTTTACATTCACATTAGCTAAATCACATTGAGAACTGCAAAGCTACCTGGTAAAAACAACTATATTTGATATATTCTCAAAGCAATGGCATCATATGCAGAGCAAAGCCAAAATGAATGTTATTCAGAGGTAGGAATCTTCATTAGAAACTTTAGATTCTCAGCTCTAGTTTTAATCCAGTAAATGACAAGTTGCAGCCCTATAATTAATTTATATTGTTACAGCATAAATTTAATATTAAATAATGTATTATTATCAGACTGATATAATTAAGATTGATTAAAAGCTTATAAGGAAAATAGCTCAATAATAAAATATTTTATCATTCAGTTATTATCACTTAGAAATAAAATAATTTTTAAATGCATTTAGCCTTATTTTGGGTAGGCCTCAGAGTGTTATTGAAGTTTGATGCTTATTTAAAGCTCTTTTTAAAAAGTTTTTAAAGGCTAGGTCTAAGTTTCATGTTGTAATATTTGAAAGTCTAACCAATGTCTTAATCTTTGCATATAATTTTCCTCAGGTTTGCCCTGCTAAATGCAATTCCTTTTCTTCCAGTAATTTGGACAACACTTTTTGATCTGCAAGGTGGTAAATTATTTCATTTGTAATAATTCAAATATAATCACCTTTCTATGAAACGCCTACTTTACCTATCACATTGTATTTTTCAGTTGATAGACGGATTTAACTCTATCTTCCCCCCAGGTTTGTAGCCCTAACAAATATAGCATAATGTGGTTAGATCTTGGTTTCCAAATATATTCCTCATCTAAGTCCTTTCCACTTTTCAATTTTGCACTTAAACCCTACCTCTTCCGTAAAGATTCCTCTAACTACTATGGTTTGAAACAATTATATCACTTGTACATGAAATCCTATTGTACATGTAAAAACACACAAACAGAAGTATACATTGTCTCTATTTTAGTGACTAGAGGCAGTGAAATTTGGATCCAAATTGCTTTATAATTGTTTTATGTTTGCTAATTCCATTTCTCCCAAAAAAGTATGAGAAATAAATTTCTCAGCCGGGCACGATGGCTCACACATGTAATTTCAACACTTTGGGAGGCCAAAGTGGGCAGATTACTTGAGGTCAGGAGTTCGGGACCAGCCTGGCCAACGTGGGGATAACCCATCTCTACTAAAAACACAAAATTTAGCAGAGTGCAGTGGCACTCACCTGTAATCCCAGCTACTTGTGAGGCTGAGGCAGGAGAATTGCTTCAACCCAGAAGGTGGAAGTTGGAGTGAGCCAAGATTGCGCCACTGCACTCCAGCCTGGGCAACAGTGCAAGACCCAGAAAGAATGAAGGAAAGGAAAGGGCAAGGGCAAGGGCAAGGGCAAGGGCAAGAGCAAGGGCAAAGGCAAAGGCAAAGGCAAAGGCAAGGAAAGGAAAGGAAGGAAAGACAGAAAGGAAAGGAAGGAAAGACAGAAAGGAAAGAAAGAAAGGAAAGAAGAAAGAAGGAAGGAAGGAAGGAAGGAGAGAGAGAGGGAGGGAGGGAGGAAAGAAATTTCTCATGTAGTTCTATATATCTCACAGTGTCTACAGTACTCTTTCATTCATTCAACAAATACTTACTGTGTTTACTATACATTAATCAATGTATTAGGCACTGAGTAGATAAAATACTATCCTGGTTTCAAGAATTCTCAAATCTCATGGGATGGAAGGGTAAGAAAATAAGTAATTAGAAAAAAAAGATGAGTATGCTTGATGACTGTAGATAAATAGGTATCTGTGGGTTGCTATGAAGCACTTAACTGGTAAAAAGAAAGTATCTAAGATGGAATCTGAAGAATAACTAGGAGTTAGCCAGATTAAGGGGAACTGAGTGATACAATCAAAGAATCCTAGATTTGAAGTTCAAGTTCCCTAGAGTAGGCACTGAAAAGATATTTAAAAATCTGTTCAGCAAAGCTGTTTTTATACTTAGATGTATTTCTGCCAACACAGATAACTTGATCTTCAAGCCTAGGCTTTTTTGACTTCAGGGTTTAAGGTGTTTTCTACTCTGACACAGGAAAAATGTCAACTCTGCTTATTTCTCTTCCCTATTTCCTTTTTTCTTTGAAAGCTTTGGCTGTGATAAGAGATATACAATAATCATGTGCTTAAATTGCTTCAGAAAATAGGAGTATAATAAATTCCATTTAGCTGCCAACAAATGAGACAGCACAGAGCCTGGAAGAGAGGAACAGAAGAACAGCAGGAAGACACATTTCAGGGAAAGGAAGGTGGAGAAATAACAAGAACCTTGAGAGCAGCAGGCTTCCACAGAAAAGAAGAAATGACTGCACTAGGAGAGTAGGTATTTTCTTCCTCCTAAATTGATTCTCAAGCCCCTAAGGACACAAATTAAGAATAGCCCTAACTCCCCACAGAAGCTACTGTATAGTGATCAACTTTTCTTTTACACAGCACAGGGGTTTTGCTCAGCTATAGCAGTGCCCTTACTTCATGCAGTGTTCAGAAAGAGGCAGTAGCATTTTCCTGCCCCACTAACTGTTAGCTACCTGGGTATGGAGAAAAACCATTGAAAAGATACAGCTAATGTGGATTGCAGTTTTTTAAGCCTGTGATTGTGAATAGTGTACAAATCAACGGGCATCAAATAAATAAATGGCCTTGACTCAAGGAAAAATATCTTACAGAAATTCAAATGGTCTCTTTACACAGTTTGGGTAAATAACACTCAAAGATATATTAGAAACCAGCTGATGATTTTTGATTCAAACTTCTTAACCTGAATTTCTTCACCTCTGTCAAGCTCTCTGAGTCTCACTCTGTTGCCCAGGCTGGAGTGCAATGGTGCAATCTCGGCTCACTGCAGCTTCCACCTCCCAGGTTCAAGTGATTCTCCTGCCTCAGCCTCCCAAGTAGCTGGGATTACAGGCACCCACCACAACGCCTGGGTAATTTTTTTTTTTTTTTGGTAGTTTTAGTAGAGACGTGGTTTCACCATGTTGGTTGGGCTGGTCTCAAACTCCTGACCTTGTGATCTACCTGCCTCGGCCTCCCAAAGTTTTGGGATTACAGGCGCGAGCCACCATGCCCAGTCAGGTTTTTAATATTTGATACCCTGTGGAAGTCAATGCTTGGTGGGTTAAAATTACTAATTATATAATGCTTTTAAAAATCTTTAGAGTTAGCCTTTTATTACGAATGAGGACTTAGTATACAGTCTATTATAATCTATTAGTTCAATGCTTTGACTGGACAAATTTAAGACTGTGTCACTCATTATTCAGAGACATTCTATGTTCAGGACAAAAGAATTAAAGATAAAATATTGGTTCAATAAACCACACAGTATTTGGACTCAAAAAAGTGAAACTGAAAGTAAAATATAAAATTGTATTCTCCAAAGTTATTTCCAAATTAAAGGAAAGTAAATGTTTCTCTGGATGTATCTGCATATTGTGGTGTTAAATGTACATCTTTAAATTCACATATGGCACTTGTTGTTTGTTAATTTTGACATGCGAAAAAACTCTGACCTTGTCTACTTTCAGGGATTAATTATCAGCTATCTTTTCTTAAAAATCAAAAACTTTGGCCATACTGCCCAAGGTAATTTATAGATTCAATGCCATCCCCATCAAGCTACCAATGAGTTTCTTCAAAGAATTGGAAAAAACTGCTTTAAAGTTCATATGGAACCAAAAAAGAGCCCGCATCTCCAAGACAATCATAAGTCAAAAGAACAAAGCTAGAGGCATCACACTACCTGACTTCAAACTATACTACAAGGCTACAGTAACCAAAACAGC